CAATCACATGAATCTCCCGCCCCCGACATACGAAGCAAAAAGGTTTGAAGTAAACTGGATATAAACTCCCCAAACAGGCGAAAACATACCACTGTCTCTGCCACCTCCCTCCATGCCTGGCTCCTCCGGTTTATATCCCGGTAGGTAAATAGGGACTGGTCGTAAAGCACCAGGTGATTCCCTACCGCTAATTTCTCCTCAATTTTTTGGAATATGAGGAAATGACCTGCGGTATGTCTCTCCCAGCATACACGCGGTTTGATTGGCTAGCGCTTGAACTGTCAGATTTGCATACACGGGATTTGATTGGCTGACGCTTCCACCTCATCTTCAAAAGTTGAACATTGCTCAACTTTGAATCCTGAAAATCCTGAAAATCTCCGCTCGCCTGCCCACAATGCAGTTCGGCGAAAAGTGAGGCAAAGTGACGCTGCTGTGTGGACGGTCCGTAACGGACCGTCCACACAGCAGCGTTAAAAAAATCTTGAAACGCTTCTGCCCATTCACTTTGAATGGGGTGACGTCACTTTGCCTCACTTTTCGCCGAACTGCATTGTGGGCAGGCGAGCGGAGATTTTCAGGATTTTCAGGATTCAAAGTTGAGCAATGTTCAACTTTTGAAGCTCAGGTGGAAGCGTCAGCCAATCAAATCCCGTGTATGCAAATCTGACAGTTCAAGCGCTAGCCAATCAAACCGCGTGTATGCTGGGAGAGACATACCGCAGGTCATTTCCTCATATTCCAAAATATGGAGGAGAAATTAGCGGTAGGGAATCACCCGGTGCTTTATGACCAGTCCCTATTTACCTACCGGGATATAAACCGGAGGAGGCAGGCATGGAGGGAGGTGGCAGAGACAGTGGTATGTTTTCGCCTGTTTGGGGAGTTTATATCCAGTTTACTTCAAACTTTTTTGCTTCGTATGTCGGGGGCGGGAGATCATGTGATTGGTTGTTGGTGCCTTGCTCGCAAAAAATCCCCAAGCTTCAGATACGCCCACCTCCAAGATTTTTTTAACGCTGCTGTGTGGACGGTCCGTAAGTATTAAGAGGTACACTTAGTTTATTTCTCACGACACGTGCATTTACACCTAACCCCTAACCCAGACCTGGGCATTGTACGGCCCCCGGGCCACATACGGCCCTTTGGTTGACTCTGACCGGCCCGTGTAAGGCTAATTGGAAATTACAAAATAAACATATTTTCTAACTTTACCTCATGCATGGACTAAAGCTGCATTGCTTTTATTTTGAAGTTGTTTTTTATTCACGTGCATAATGACGCAATACGTATATCAAGACGTGCACATTATTGGATCCTTGTCACAAGACGACTTTAGCCCTCAAAAAAATGTCCGCTAAAAAAAGAAAGGTAGATGCTGAATGCAGGGTTTTCAACAAAAATTGGACTGCTAAGTATTTATTTACTGAAGTCGGAGGTAAAACCGTGTGTTTAGTTTGCGGGGAGCAGATCGCCGTGTTTAAGGAGTACAATGTGAGTCGACATTACGAGACGAAACACGCGGAGAAATATAAAAACTTGACTGACGCTGAAAGGGCGCGGACATCGGAAGCTTTGCTAGCTAAGCTGCAAAAGCAGCAAGGCTTTTTTACCAAGCTTCACACATCCAGTGATGCAGCAACCATGACCAGCTTTGTGATATCCCACAAAATTGCTAAAAACAGTAAGCCGTTCTCGGAGGGGGAGTTTGTCAAAGAGTGCTTGGTGGACTCTGCAGCACTAATATGCCCTGAAAAAAAAGCCGCATTTGAGCAAGTCCCGCTGTCCAGGCGAACCGTGACTAGAAGGATCGAGGACATTGCGGGGAATCTGGAGCTTCAGCTGCAACGTGAAGTGGCAAGTTACGACTTTTTCTCCTTGGCTTTGGACGAGAGCTGTGATGTCCGCGACACAGCCCAGTTACTCGTATTCGTCCGCGGGATAACACCGGACTTCAAGATTACGGAGGAGCTGGCAGCAATGCGGTCGATGAAAGGGACGACTACAGGGAGCGATCTGTTCACGGAGGTAAACGAGTGCATGGACACGCTGGGACTGAAATGGGACAGACTGGCAGGTGTCACAACGGACGGTTGTCCAAATCTTACCGGAAAAAATGTCGGACTTTTGAAACGTATGCAAGATAAAGTGACTGAAATCGACGCGGATCAGAAACTGGTATTTTTGCATTGTATTATACACCAACATGTGTTGTGCAAGTCAGTGCTAAAAATTAACCATGTTATTGATGTTGTTACTAAAATAGTAAACTTCATCAGGGCAAGAGCTTTGAACCACAGACAGTTTATCGCACTTTTGGAGGAGCATGAGACTGAGCATCGTGACATCGGCTACCACACAGCTATCAGATGGCTCAGCCTGGGCAAAGTGCTAAAAAGAGTTTGGGACCTGAAAGCAGAGATTCGAGAGTTTTGTGAGAAGAAAGGCAAAGACTTCCCAGAGCTCTCAGATGAGGACTGGATGGCAGATTTTGCATTTGCTGTTGATGTGACTGCACTGATGAATGAACTGAATACCAAACTGCAAGGCAAGGGCCTTTTTGTTCATGAAATGCACAGCCTGGTGAAGGCTTTCATGACAAAGATGCAGTTTCTTTCAAGCCAACTGGAGAGCAACAATCTCACTCACATGCAAACCCTGAAAGAAGTCACACCATCAGCTGATCACCTCCGCAGGTACTCATCCATGTTGGGAGCATTGCATGGTGAGTTTTCAAGGCGATTTGAAGATCTCAGAAAAATCGAGGATGAAATGCACCTGATTTCCTCTCCCTTTACCTGCAGTGTGGATAATGCACCCAGTGATGTTCAGCTGGAACTCATCGACCTGCAGTCTGATGCAGTACTGGCAGAGCACTTTAAGTCAGGATCTCTGCTGGATTTCTACTCTTCTCTCAAGGAGGAGAACTTTCCAAACATGAGGAGACATGCTCAGAAGATGTTGGTTCTCTTTGGCTCGACCTACATATGTGAACAAACATTTTCAATTATGAAGTTTACGAAATCCAGGTATAGATCCTCTCTCACTGATGATCATCTGTCAGCTGTGCTTCGCATCTCCACCTCAGACATTCAACCTGACTTTGATGCACTCGTTAAAGCCCAGCAGAGACTAGATTTCTCTCACTGAACAAGAAAAGAGAACTTAAAAACACCAAATGAGGTGGTTAGACTACAAATGTTGGCATGTAAAGGCACCAACTAGCAGTGAACTGGGACACTTTCTTTGGAAGCCTTTTTCTCAAAATCACAGTTCAGTGATGTTTAGTGACAGTTCAATATGATGTATCTTGCTTAATATTTGGAGTACAAAGACAATATTGTGATGTCTTTAGAATGCTAAGAACCTCTTTCCAACAGTAAATGAAACTCAAATTGTGTTTGAGTGAATGTGACTGAAAATGTTCACTAATATGAGTCACAAATGGTGAAAAACGTTCATTTTGTTTACCATTGTTTTGGGAAATTTGATTTAATAAATGACATTTTTTTGTAAGGCAACCTCACTTTTTCATTGCTTAACTATAACATATACTCTTACCAGCTTGTCAAAACAATGCTATTTACTGCTTTTTATAAAGAAATACAATTAATATTATGCAGAATTGAGTTCAGCCTTTTGGCCCGGCCCTCCACAATATTTTCAGTTTCTCATGTGGCCCCATGGAAAAAATAATTGCCCACCCCTGCCCTAACCCCTTGCTTTTTAAATGATTTCATTTTAAGATAATCTCATAATGATTTTGTTATTCTTCAGTTCAGCTAAAAAAATAAAAAGACATCACATTTGCATCCAGTATGTTCTGGTGTTCTTAACGCTAAATAATTTAATCAAAACAATCAAGAGCGTATTAGTTGATCCTTAAAAACCTGTTTTTGCAACGTTAATCACAGTAGCCTGCTCATTAATGATTTTATTTCTGTTGTTTGCCTATTTAGTTTGTGTGAGTGTCAATGTGTGTTCTCTCTTGCATTATAAAACAATGGTGCTAAAAGAGGACCCCACTAGGATGTTGGATTATTATGACCGTGTATTACCCATAGACTGTATATATAAAGGTATTACCTCATTTACTGGACTGCAATATCCAAACAGTTTTTGTGTTTTGTTGAGATTCGTCTTCCCACTAGGGGGAGATGAAGTACAGCTAAAACAACCGCTGCTTTGTTGTAACTGAGTGCTCGGGGTCCTCCTTGTTTATTTATCATGTCAACCTTAAAAATAAAACAAATGACGTCACAGAATTTCATAATGTTGTTTTTGTTGTGCTTCTCAATTTTGTGAAATTCTGCCTGCTTTTTAGAAACACACTACTACAGTAGTAACCACGTGTTCAATGTGGACACAAGGTGCATGGTGTTTTTTTGTTATTTGTTGCATCAATTAGGCGACTTTGTTCATATGTATTCAACCAATGATAGAATAAATATGTTTTGTGCCATTCTCTTAATTCATCCGGATTATCGTAGAAACATAATCATTATCCTAATATTACATCATAGTTATTATGGTTATGACGAATATCCCAATACATGTATGAGTAGGATTAAGAGTATTAGCCTTCTATTAGCCTATTAGTATTGTGTATTTACTATAAGTAATAGGCTTGCTTTGCTTACTAGTAGAGAAGTGGTTGTTTTATTGACATGCAGAAATAATGCCGTTTTTGCAGGTTTCTCATGCTTACAGCGAAACAGTCAGCAGTCGGGTCTTTTGTTTGGAGAGCAGATTCAGCGTGTGTGTGTGTGTGTGTGTGTGTGTGTGTGAGTGAGAGGGGTAGAGAGAAAGAGAGAGAGAGGCAGTCTTTGGGATACAGCAGAGTGAGGAGGAGAGAGAGAGCGGGATGCTGACAGATTCCTGATAGATGGCTAAAATGGCGAAAGCGTGTTCGACCCCAGCGAGCCACCAAACAGTATAGCAGTGTAGGTCGGAACATGTAGTGCTTGAAGCTGGATATCTCGGTGTGTTTTTTTTTTACCCCGTCTATTCACCTCACGTTGTCTTCTGCAAGTGCTGGAATATTTTTTCTTTAAGTGTTTAAATGGCATCCACAAGGCGCCGCCGCCTTGTTCCGTGCTTTTTGGGAATACTTCTAAATGCTCTAATTGGTAAGTTGCATTATCTTATTATACCAGTAGAGAGTTTAGTGGTGCAGAGTGGCTTTGCGGAGGTTAGCCGCTGTTAGTGAGCTTCTCTCCGGAGCCTGGTGCATGCTGCAGGCAGCGATAGTGTGCTGCTGACCAGTAACCCTGAACTTGGCCCCTTTCCGATGTCCGTTAGCATTTCGGCTGTAATGCCAATGTGGAGACTGGTCCTGGAGCCATGTGCACTGTGGAATTTGTACCTGCAGGAGGTTACTGAGTGACACGCTGATAATGTTTTTAAAGTTAAATTCCGTGTGCATTCTGCAGAACTTCACACGTTTTCACAAGCTGATGGTGTTGTTTCGCCATGTGACTACTTCAAGTGGGCATTGGGCAATACATTCAAATCTACATCGCTAATGAGCATAACAATAACATAAGTATAGCCACGTGCAATGTAGTCAAAATGTTTCCGTATATTTTTTGGGGAACATGATTAGAATAATGTTCAAGTGAAACTTGAAGCAGTGAGAAAGTCACATTTTTCCAGTAAAATATCAGTGAATTATGCAGAAAAATGCTTAGTTTTCTACTGTAGTTGTCCTCATGACTGCCTTTTCTATCAGGCGTCCCATAGCAGAGCTGCAGAAGGAGAGCCCCTTACCCAATGTTATTGTTAATCACATGGTCTCAATATTTGAAAGTCAGCACCAAGGGAGGGATGAGGGTTTAAATACTACTAAACGTATTTAAACCAGATAATAAGGTGTTGCACTTTTGTATTTTGCTTATATGCTTTTTAATTGCAATGACAATTACCTCCATCTCCTAAAAGTGATTACAAAAAAATCCTACTACTTAACTCTTCCATCTACATTTGGAAGGTGACACACTTTCAAAAGTTCATGGAGTTTCTTTTTTGGGACTTGCAAAGTAGATGGAGTTTTTGACTGTAGAGCCGATTGCACACCCACCCCGTGGCAGAGTGAAATGACAGTGGTTATTGCTCTGAGGATAGATTAAAAGACTGGTTATTGCCTGCTGGGAGGAATATTTGTACAGATTAAATGTCAAGACTGTCCCTCTTCTTCTTTTCAAATTTTCTTTTTTGCCCCTTTGTTCACTATGATAGACAGTTTCTCTCTCTATGTGAGGCCCCGTAATTCAAAGGCAGGAGAGAGTATTGAGTGTTTGCAAAGCATACCACACAGAGACCCTCAAAGGCCCCGACTGGAATCATAAAGGCTAGTACACAGTGGTTCATAACATGTTCAGTCTGGGTCTGGGAACAAAAACTTCAGAAACACAGACTCTGTGATGGATGTATTTCCAATCTAGCCATCACATTAAATAAATGAAGCTCTTTTTAAGTCCGCCTCTGAGATTGGATCCAGTTAAGATAAAGGCACATTTTTGTGAGATTTTAAGAAGAGATGATAAGAAGCAATAAGAAGAAAAACTGAACTATATCTAATGGCCTGAACAACTCTGAGGCAGTAGATATTCAAAAGATTTTATGATATGAAAATGATGGTTTATCAAAAAGGCATGAGTTTGCTTTGAAAGAATGGAGTGACTGCGTTAGCTTTGTCTTTCAAGCTTCAGTCAATATGACCGTATCAATGTTAAATTATAGGATGAAAGAGAAAATACTGAGAGCTTTCATTTCACTTCATAACTTTTGATGTTCCTACCCTATCTACTGTCTGTTGTATAAACTAATTGCATTCAAAGCTACCAGAATGTAGTCTATGTAGTTCTAGAAAGAGAGTTCAGGTGAATACTTATGTGAGAAAAAAGAGTGTACAGTACCTTGAGAGGTGATTTTGCAACAGCTGCCCTACATCTTCTATCATGCCAACACATGGACTATTTCTCAGAATTGTTGTGCTGCACCAGTGTAACCTATATTACTGTCATTTCTCTGTGATCGTCACTGAGCTGCTGTTATTTTATAACAAGTGATTGGCTGACTACTTGGAACTACAAGCTTATGAGTGTTCATGAGGCTAAAAAAAAGGATATTAATAAATAATGTATGAAGTATAAGCCTATACAAAGGAATACAAGTATTAATGCTTCATGCATTGTATTTTCTCTGCGAGTAGAATGAATATTGCTTTTTAGGCGGACACTGCTTCATAATGAAATCAAGATAGTATATATGTAGTATTGTATACTTGTGACCTGTATTGTTTTATTCTTATACATATACTTGATCCTAATGCAAATATATGACTTTTGCTGTGCATGCTGAAGGACACCTTTTAAGTCATGCTTATAGGTTTGTAAGTGTATTCCCGTTTAATACTCACCACTCATGTGGAATATAGGTGACGCACATCATTTTCTTCAAAGTGGAAATGCAGCCTTAGCTTACCATCTACATTTCAGTGAAATTAATGGAGGATAAACTCACAATCATTGTCTAGTTTGCAAAACATTATTCCCCATCTTAAACACACCTAACATAATGGAGTCAGTCATAGCACATTAACCTGGATATTTAGAAATATGAGAGAGCTGCAACAGATGGATGCTTAGTTAGGTATTCTTAATATATAACTATACGATAATGTTGTGATATGTAGCATTAATACAAAACTAATACTGAATCTAAATCAATTCCAAAACGTATAGGGGAATCATATGATATTGCTGACTGTAAGCAGCCTGTGGTGTGTGTTAAGCTCACTGAGCTCTACCAGTGGTTTCTGTGTCTGCTAAGTACATCTCTCTGTCATTGGCTGGTGTGAGACCTTAACTTTACTGTTGCAGCAGCAGTAAACCTTTGTGCCAGCCAGCCACACTTATCTGTCAATAGTAAGCCAGTGCATGAGCCACACTTAGCCAACACTTGTCTCTGGTCTCAACCGGTAATCCGACATGCTAGTGTCTCTTTCCTCTGCATTAGGATGTGTGTGTGTGTGTGTGTCCCTCCCCTTATCTAACCATGAAAATCCACGCATGTATGGATTCATGTCCGTGAACATGTGTTCCTCTGGAAAGCCAGTGTTCTTGCCACCAGTTTGCACAGCTGTGCTCTCCTCTCTGCACCCCCTCTGGATGCTCAGCATTCACAGATGACTTTAACATAAACCATACAAAGCGCTGTTTCTTGAGTCCTCTTATGTATTCTGACTCTCAATCTGTCAGATGATTCAAAACGTTTTTCACTTACCTTTGTCACATTGTTGTTTGTAACCTTCTACCCACCTGGAGCTCAGCAATGCATTAGCCAGTCACTCAGGCAGCATGCTTTATTTATTAGGAAAGCCGGAGCACAACAACTCTTACCTTGTTCTAGCTAATGGAAGAAACTGATTAATTGAAGTACCAAGGAAGAATAAACAACATCATTAAAGCTTTTTAATCAAATCACTGCCATTGCTACACCTGGACACTGGACTGTTATCATCCAGTTAGTTGCTGAGAGTGAAAACATTGAGTAATGTATTTCTTAGGGCTACCCTCTGCTAGTCTACTAACTACGATTTATTTCTTTGATCAGTCATGCCTTTTTCATACTGAATGATTTAAAGAAACTTATGAGCACATCTCTGGTAATCACAAGATTTAAAGTGGTGTTTTTGCACAATTCTTCGTGACAGATCTGTCCATGAAATCAAGTAAATGATGAGTCCTCAAATAAGTGTCCCCTAAGAAATTCTGAAGTTTAGCACAACCCTATTTTACAGCTTAGGAAGATAAAAGCCTCCAGTATATTTCAGTTGATCTGATGTTCATGTTTTTTCCCTCCTCAAATTTGTCCAGAAGCATTTGGCACAGTATATAATACTTACTTTATTTGAGAGCTATCCATGTTTTGATCAAAACATGAAGTGTGACTGACTGGATGTGTGGCTGCAAGCTCTTTTTTCTTTGCTGGCTGCTTCCCCGTGTGGAAACATGTGATCTTTGTTGGACCAAAGGAGATGAAGCTCTGTGGCCAGCATCATTTTTTGGAGAGCTACAGCCTAGGCAGGGGGATCACTGCCTGCCAGCTAAGGGTTAAATATTTCTCCACCACCACCCCCTTGTTTTTCACAAGTGGTAGCACTGATGTCTCTCTGGTCCCATGGCCATTTACGTTCCATGCTTGTTGAGTGAAAAAAAAGGAGGGGGGGTCACATAAAAAAAAGGATACAGAGTAAAACAGAGGAAGAGGAAATGTTTCTTTGCATTATGCTCCATATGTGATCTTCATGGAGGAGTGTGTCAATGAATTCCTTGTCTGCACCTAAGGGGAAGTATTTCTCGGCTGGAATTTGAGGGATGAAGCCGGAGGTTCTCTGTTTTGACCCTTGTGCTTTGCCCCCCCTCCACTGCCCTCCCCTGGCCCCCTCCCACCAGATTCCAGGGCCTGGGGCAGAGACTGGTTGTGCTTAGTCCATCAGCAGCTGAAACATGATACCGAGAGAGCCCCGCTAAGCTCCTCTTTTATAGTACCGAGTCAGGTCAGGCTGTTTACATCCTTTATTTATTGTTCTCCCACTCCCCCCTCTTTGCCCTCAGAAACCCAAAATAAAAAAATGGATCTCTTCATGTCCTTATGAAGTGGAACGCAAAGCCACAAATAGATTTAGTACTGGTAACATATCATATTGTGTTGAGTAGCAAAAATAAAAAGAACAGGTATAGCGGTGACAAAGTCCTTGCTGGCACGCATAAAGACGTGTGTGTGTGTGTGTGTGTGTGTGTGTGTGTGTGTGTGTGTGTGTGTGTGTGTGTGTGTGTGTGTGTGTGTGTGTGTGTGTGTGTGTGTGTGTGTGTGTGTGTGTGTGTGTGTGTGTGTGTGTGTGTGTGTGTGTGTGTGTGTGTGTGTGTGTGTGTGGTGTGTGTGTGTGTGTGTGTGTGTGTGTGTGTGTGTGTGTGTGTGTGTGTGTGTGTGTGTGTGTGTGTGTGTGTGTTGTGTGTGTGTGTGTGTGTGTGTGTGTGTGTGTGTGTGTGTGTGTGTGTGTGTGTGTGTGTGTGTGTGTGTGTGTGTGTGCGTCATATGGTGCATTCGATCCTATGAATTCCCTTGTGACTGTAGCCTGGAGGTATATTTGTCAAGGCTTCTAATTAATTAGCTGTAAGGCCTTGTGTGATGCCATTAGTTATATGACATGAGACACATTCTTCTTATTTGTTTATATTGTGAGAGTTCATGTGAAATGTGTTAACTACCAGTTACAGTACCTCATGACCCTGGGTAGTGGTTAGTAGGTATGGAAAAGGAATTAATGGATGGGTAAACGCATCTTCAGTGTTGTGGTTCATGGTCGACATGTTAATCATTCAATCTTAAGGCATCGTCAACTTATTAGCTTTTTCTGGAGCTTCCATGGAGTTTAACCATGACCACTGGGCAAACCTAGGAAAACTATGAGATGAAAAATACATTGAGTTGAAATTGTATTGTTGAAATACTTTACAAGATTAGGACTTTCAGGCGCAACTATACAGTAAACTTGTGTGTGTATGTGTGTGTGTGTGTGTCTCTTCAGGTGTGATGTGCGAAGCAGAACTGTCCTTCAGACTGGAGCCCAGGGACATCATCGCGGTACAGGAGCAGCCCCTCATGCTGCACTGCCAGGTCGACGGCATCCCCCCAATAACAATACAGTGGAGGCACTACGGCCTGCTTTTAACTCAGGATCAGCATCACACCACCTTCATCAACGGCTCACTACTGATCGCTCACTTCCAGAAGACCAAATCTGATAGGTCATCGGACGAGGGCGACTACGAGTGTGTGGCCGAGAATTATTTTGGGCTGGTGGTGAGCCGCAAGGCCCGTATTCAGGCAGCCAGTAAGTCTCCTCTTCTTTCTTATAGTAGTGCACAGTTATTTTGTTTTATTATTTTAGTTTGTATATGTTTTTTTGTTGCCAAGAATTAGATCAGTAGAGATTAATCTTGTCCAATGTTATTAATGTTTGTTCAATATGCAGCCGGTTTGCTTTAATCATAATCATAATTGCTATTTTTACAGTTTTACAGCAAAAGTGGCATAGCAGGAAAAAAAAAGGCATTCAATAATAAGCTAACTTATTAAATATAGATAAGAAAAACACACATTAGTAATAGAATAAAAAGAAAAGAGAAGAATAAGTACACAGTCATGGCTAAAAACGAGTAGCAGCAGTTCAACAAATATATATTACGCTGTTAGCTTAGCATTAAGAATGAAAACGGGGGAAAAGCTACCCCAGCTCTGTTAAAAAATAACTAAAACCACCTAGGGTTTCCACTGTCACGCTTATAGAAGTCACTTTACTTTTAAACCTCAATGTACAGTTTTGAAACTTAATTTTTTTAAACAGATTAAACAAATTAGGTATTTTCATTCTGTCTTTTATTATCTTTAAAATCTGACCGTATTACCTTAAAAGTAGCACATTGAGATACCACCTCAATGTTCTGTCTAGGCCTATTTGTTTTGTCATTATGTAAAGTCTCAAGTGACAGACTAACAAATCATGATTGATGCAGATATGACAAGCAGAATCTGCAACATTAGCTGCTTAATTAAGTTGTGATCTGTGTTCCCTACAAATGTAAACATTTGAATTGAAATATCGCAGAGTGATCATATTTCAGTCGAGACCCAGTCATCGGCTATCGCTGTGCTTCAAATGTACTTAATTTCCCTGAGTGAAGAGTCATTTGAATATTTTACTATCATTGTTTGAGTGTAATGATCTTTCTGATGCTCATCTACAGTGCTGACGGGAAATTCAAGCTTGTGAGTTTAGCATTAACAAGCCCTCACGCTGAGAGTCTCCAAGCTGCTTTGTAGGAGTGCAATAAGCTCGAAGCTACACAGCTGCCCTCTCACTGGTGGAGGCATCGAGATAAATCTTCCCCAGTTTGACCACAAATCTCTTATATGAAGTCACTCTAGTTCAAATTAAATTGTCAGCGCTGTTGCCATGGTTCATTTACTATGTTTTAATCATATCATAGTCGATCTGACTCTCTCTTCTATTCTCTCTCGAACACACACAGTGCATTTCTCAACTTACTTAAAATCAAAGGCGTCTCTGATGTGCACATTCCTCTGAGGACACGCTGAGATGTTGCCGCAGCTCTTCTAGAGATACTGTACTGTTGCACTCAGCATTGAGTTAAGACTTTTTGAAAGGCTCTGTTATATATACACTGTAAAACAGAGATGGACAAAGGCTCACAGAAGCCTGTTGATTCCCGAGCCATGTGTAGACAGCACACTGCTGTGCTGTTGTGGCCAATACAGCTTTTCCACTCAGCAGGATAGGGAGGTTAGCAGGGATGCTTTCGCTGGACGAAGGGAAAAGTCACTTCAGCTCAGTGGCTGTCGCTGTCAAACACATGCAACCTTTTAAGGCCTCCGTTGAAGGCTTTTCTTCTCAAAGGTCAGATTGTAGCAGCTTTTTTCATCACATTTGTTTTGTTTGGCATCAGAAAAAAATCTTCAGTATAGACCCCCTCATTTTTATTTCAAACAATTCATTTGACATAGTTGTAAATAGCATGTTCATCACCTGATAAGCATGCAGATAAACATAAAAAGAATCTGATGATTTGTATTCAGCATTAAACAGTGTATTATTTATGGCATCAAGATCTGGTAGCAATTGTTCAATAAACAATTTAGCTTTAGAGCGAGAAAGAGTTTGATTTCCAGATAAATCAACATGTGCTTTGAGATGCAATTTTAAGTGGGTGATCACTCAGAAATGGTTCTGTGTTTGTAAATAATTTAGCAAGTATACTTTAAGTTGGCTTATTAATGTGTTTCTCCAATAATGTGAGGATAGACGAATACTCCAGTGAGAATAGTGTAGTTAAAGCCTTGATAAAAGTGACAATCTATATCAATTAAAGAGCTGTGATGCAGTGGACCATGCAACACTATCCCTCATTAATCTGTTAAATTAGCATCAGCCTTGTTACGGTGTTGCAATGTAATGTCAAATTGTGCTTCACAGATCTTTGAATGAAATATCAAGAAAACTCCTGCATTTTTAACTGAAGTATTCATACTGTATATGAGCATTAAAAATGAAGGATTGTGGAAATGTAGAGCAGTCTTCCATCACTCATCAGCTTCTGAAAAGCTGTGGATTGAATACTGATTTCATCTTGGTGAATGAACCTGACTTGGATCACACCTTGGACTTGGTGGATCACGTTCAAATTAATTCAGGGTAGAAATATTCTGTTTTGACGGGGCTTTACTCCCCCTGCAGATCTTTTCAGCGCTTCCTTTCGACTTGTATTGATTGGGAAGGCACTGAAGGATTACTGAACCTCACATCCTGACCTCTGACCCCTGAACTTTGGTGTTGCATGGAGCAGTCTTTGAAGGCGAGGTGCGGAATGAGTAGAGGCTCTGCTGTGATTACAGTCTGTCCCTCCTTAATGGAGTCCCACTCCTATCAAGGCAGTAAGAAGCCATCACTGGAAATAATCCTCCGAGACCCTTCAAAAGGACTCGCGAGATAAGAACTTCTGACTGTAAATTGTCCCCATGTTACCAATCATTACTCACTAATGCCTTCTGTATTTTGAGTTATTGCTCTAAAACAGTAATGTTAGTATATAACTGTGGATTTTAACTGGTTTTCAGTTAGTTTTGCAGTGTATGAAAATGCTCTAATTCTTTTAGAATTCGTACTAACGAGGCTTTCATTGCACCATTAGTTTTGGTAGTTTACTCCCCACCTAGGGGCTGTTCATAAGCAGGCATAACGGCTTTTCTACCTGCAGTCATTCAGTTCAGGCGTCTTTGGAAAGCTCAATAGAGGATTTTTGTACTGTACATTCAGAATAATGATAATGATTCATCGCCCAGCTTCATTCCACTGCTCTGCCTCCAGGTACCTGCAGGCTCTTGTTTAGTATAGTGTTCCCCTGTTGTTAAAGCCTCAATTGATCAGACTTTTATGTTTTAGGTCTTTAATATAAGGTCTTAAAAGAGTTTAATGTTAGAGGTGAAGTATATTCTAAAGGGATTTGGACAATCACTGGTCTATTTCATACTATAGGTGCCCACCAGAGACATAAATAATTTAGTATAAACAGTGTTCATTTATTTTATGAAGAGAAATGGCCCAAAACAAGTAAAAGCTCTCCTAACAAAGATCACTAACTAGTGTTTGTTTTCTTTTTCTGTGTGTTTGTTAATGTTGATGCTCTCTTTTGTGTTTTTGAGGTAATTTGCTGTGTTATACAACAGAGCTCTGACTTGTACCACTGTGATGCAAAGGGTGGTGTGATTACTGCCGCCTCTTTATAGCCCTCCCAGTGGATAACGCTTCCATCTTACTCTCCACACAACCTCCCTCCATAAATTTCACTTTTTATTTGCTTGACAACCATTTGTGTGAGCTCACGGTCGGGGGCTGTTAGGACTGACTCCCCGTTGCCCCTTTAATTCAGCGGCCGGTCAGGGGAACTCTTTTTTTCCCTCCTAAATGTTATCTCTTTGATGGTCCGGTCCTCTCTCTCTTTCCTCAGTTTCTCTAGGACCTCCTCATTAGCTTACGTTCAGGAAGCTTTTCATCATTTGGTTGAATGACAAGCTTGGTACAGTGGGCCTGGCCACGGCTCCCGCCCCTCCCCCACAGCACACCCGCGTCACCAGGCAACACACCACAAAAGCCTCCCTGTTACAAAATAGCTTTTAGGATCAATTGAAATGACTTGCTTTTGTCTGTTCGTCTGGAATTAATTGTAAAGAGTTGAAGCTTTGTTAAAAAATTATTTATTCTTTTCCCCATTCCCATTAATTTGTAGAGACTGCAATTGACCTCAGGGACCATTTGGAAAGCTTTGCAAACACAATATGAAGTGTGCTGAGATACAAAGGCGAAGTCAGTGCAAACATGAAGAAAGTAAAAAGCACAAATAGTAAAATATGCAATCAATGCAAGTACAATGGGTATTATAAGTGTTAATTCTTTTATTTACTTCTTCAGACAGAGCCTTTGGCTGCTAGATGATAATTCCACGTTGTTTAATTCTGAAATGGTCATGGTAAATTTAACTGCGGTTAATAATGGTAGACTCAGAATGAGACTTTAATAAAAAAGAAAAGAAGAACCCAGAGGGCTGTAAAGGATGAAATAGGAGAAGACGCAGGATGCCTGTAAAAGTGTCTCAATTTATGCCCATGCCACTGTGAATTTAGGTCCTTGCAGGGGTGTAAATGTAAATAGGTGTGATGGTGACTGGCCAGAGTCCATTACAAAGTACACGTGTAGCTTTGGCAGAAGATGAGAAGTTGCAGCATGCAACATTTAAAATCTTCTTGGATGAATTGCCACTAGCAGCTCCTCAGACTCAGACACCAGTTAGTGAGTGATTTATGTGAAGCTCCTGTTAGTTTATATGGGAGTATTTGCAAGTTTGCATCGTTTGTGTTTGGAGGGTAGAAGATGGCTTTCCATCACCTTCCAACCTTACTGTCCCCTCCCCTTCCATGGCCTCCTGCCTGGGTGAATGCTGTAGCGCTATCCCTACATCTCCTTGTAGCTCCCTTTGTCTGCCAAACCCCGCCCTCGACCCCCTCCGCATGCACTTCTCTGCTCGCTTGCCACGAAGCAAGTAATCTCTCTATCATATAGATTAGCTGACTAAATGCCATATATGCCTGTTTTGACATTTGAACATTAAACCTGTTGAATCGGGGCAAAATCAAGATTTGCTCATGCATGCTACTGCCTTTCAATTACATTGTAGCAGTAATACCTTCATTTATCATATTTGTTGAGGAAAAATCATATGGTATTGCTATTTTGTGCCAAAAAGGATATATAGATTAGTC